CCCCCAGATGCACAACAAGCAGCACATTTATTCTAGTGGTTCCTGTACACAGTTTTACAATATCCAGAAACATAATTAACTGGTTGCACAACAGAAAATTATTGAATTCTCCTCTTGTCTATGAAACAGATATTTGTGTCTGTAAGCACAACATTTGTGTCAGCAGTGTGACACTATCAGCTACTATCCAGTGGGTTGTAGATTTACCTACATTTTCATCTATATTTACAATGACTTTTGTATCTATATAGCTGTATAATATATCTATTGGAGCAAGTAACCACCTACTATGGCTGAATAAAAGAAAGGAGCAAATAACACTTGCCAATTCCATTATACAAGTCTTAAATTCTGAAGGCCACTCTAAATATCATAATCATTTTATGGCACCATTTCAAAAAGGTGTTAGCAGACTCTGAAATTAGACAGATCAAGTTGTTATATAAATATGTTAATAATGGGCACACCTTAGCTAGTTTGTTCATATTCTATGAGCATATCAATATTGTAAAGCAGCTTTTTGATTTGTGTGATTAGGGCCCTGGAAAGGTACCATTTTTAAACTGAGAACTTCGTTTTGACAAAAGAATGTCAGAATACTTTTAAATTTCTTATGAAACTAAAATTATTCCTCAAAGTTAAATGGGATATCCATATCTGTTGCTGCAAAAAGTTGAGGCTTAAAAGCATTATGCCAATGACTGTTGTAGAGTTTGCTGTCTTAAAGGATCTGACAAAGGGACAGCTATGCAAACGCTGTTGTATTCTGGATTGGGGGCAGTGTCATATGAGTTTAGCATGCAATATCCAGTTCTCTCTTAAAGTTTATGCTTAGAAATGTTCCAAGGTGTACTACATTTTTTGGACATTTGTAAATGCAAAAAATACTTCACTAAATATTCCTCTAACAGCTTTTTTAGTATGGTTGCATTGTTCAAATACACTGAAACATTATGTTTATAATATATTATAATGATAGTATCTTTGCCATTGATGTTATTATTAACTTTATTTAGATCCCTCCTTTAGTGTTTTTTTATTATTACTATTTTATTCCTAGGTGTGGGACTCAAGATCCTGCAAAAGGATTGCATGGAGTACATATCTGCACAGAAGTTACACATAGTTCTATGCAACCATTGCATTGTATGGCCACATGGCAGAACTGGATACATTGCCATATGTGCAACCAAAATCACATTAACAATGTACATTCACAATGATGTACAGCTGAATGCACAATGACATCACATGCACAATTCCACTTCCCAGCTTTCAGCCAAATGTGAATATAGTGGGTCCTTGTTATCTGCTGGGGTTTGGTTCCAGGATCCCCTATCGATAACAAAATCCATGGATGCTCAAGCCCCATTAAATACAATGGCATAGCAAAATGGTTCTCAAGATTTGCTATTTGGAATTTATACATTTTTTGAATATTTTCAAGCTGTGGATGCTTGAATCTGTGGATAAAAAGTCAGTGGATAAGGAGGGCCAACTGTATTTACATCAGGCAAAAATCTCCAAGTACCTCTGTAGGAGAATTTGCATATGCTTAAGATACCAACAGGATGCCGGTATATATAGCACAAAACATACTGAGATTGTCATTTTGTTGTTATGTGCCTTCAATTCCACACCAGCTTACAGTGACTTTGTTGTAGGATTTTCTTGGCAAATTTTATTCAGAGGAGCTTTGCCATTTTCTTCACATGAGGAGAGAAAGCATGATTCACTCAAGGCCACCCAGTGGGTTTTCATGGCTGAGTGTGGGATTCAAACCTTGTTATTTCAAGATCATAGTCCAACATTCAAATCATCTTAGAGTATAATTAAATTATCAATAACATTAAAAACACTTTTAAAACATACATTAAAGAAGAATATATGTCAGTTAAAACAGTTCAGCTAAAAGCATTACAGCAGCCTAGTCTTTGAAAATAGTTCCCCTAACCCTGTTGGAAAAAGAGTCTTTGCTTGCCAATGGAAGATCATCAAAGGGAGGGGGTCATTCTAGTGGATTCCAGAGCCCAGGAGCAGCTACTGAGAAGACCCTCTGTCACACCTTCCCCTGATGTGCCTGTGAAGGTAGTGGCACCAAGACAAGAACCTCTTCTAAAGATCTCAGGGCTCAAGTAGGTTCATATAATCTATCAGACAAATATACCTAGGCCATATCAGATTGTACAAGTCAAAATCTGTTGTTTGAACTGTGTCTAGGCATAGTAAAGTTTTTCTAACATCGAAGTTGTGAAACAAGTGTGGTTCCCCACCATTGTCTCTTTAGACTGAGACTGAGAGTTCTTTGCTTTATGTCAGTTAACCTGTAGCTAGCTGTTTGGAGGTCCTTCTCATCACCATGTGGTTTCCTTGACTCCCAACCTATGACCAAACAGATAGATTTGGCATAATCACTCTAATTAAGCACTTTTAAACACTAGACTTTTAAAATATTTCACATGGGAGAATGAACAGGCAGTGTAATAATCTTTGGGACTATTTTATTATATATACACTTACTCTCTTTTTGGAGGAACATGCCCTTCTTATTGTCTAGGCACATAATTTATGCATTGACTTTACATTGTATATAAGGAATTAAACATCTTACATCATCTACAGATGAAACGCACAAGCATTACAATAAGGAACTATCTCCAGACTCTGGAATCCAACTATTCCCAAATAATCCCCAATATTTTTTCCCCTGAATGACCACTGAGTGACCTAAAAGAACAATCATAACTGCCAGGTTTTATGCAGGAATGGAGTCATTAGCACTGGAGATACATTTTACCAATAATGGCACAGCATCATTTTGAAATGCATTTATCAATCTTCTCTGTTTATGACTAATTGGGTTGGCTGCTGAAAGCTGTATTTATGTTTCACTGATAAAATAAATGAATATTTGAGTGTTAAGAAATGGTTTACAAAGTACAGTCCTGTTCTGAAAATCAGTTACTGTTAGAGATACAGGAACATATATTTCATTTCATGCTCTCTAAAATAAAATAAAATAAAATAAAAAAGGATTTTACTAAGGGGCTGAGCAAACTGGTGGCCATAGGCTGCCCTGGGAAGGTGCGCCGCGGGACCGAGGCATCCCCATGCCTCGATCCTGCAGCGCACCTTTGCCGCCCCTGAAAGGAGCGCTAAATTAGCGCTCCTTTCACAAGTCAGTGAAAGTGCGCCTCAAAAGCTTGCAGCACACTTTTGCTGACTTTTCCGCCACAGCGTGTCCGGACGCTGCGGTGGGATGTTGTCCTTGGAGCGCTGGCCGTGTGGAGGTCCGGCAGCTCCGAGGACGACCTCAGGAGAGGGATGGGGCACCGAGCGTGCGGCTGCCCCTCCCCTTCCCTGCCTCCAAGACAGCTCTATTAGCCGTCTGCCAAGGCCCTCAGTCAGTATGAATATTCCTGCGGTTATACCAAAAGGAGGTTCAAATGCTTTGGACCATATTTGGTCAGAAAACACCGTACAGCATATACAAACTCTGAATTGTAGCATCCTAAAGATTAACACAGTTATTTTAGAATATGTTGTTAGCTAAAGCAAAAAATGAAATTCTTGATTTACCACTCAATATTCAAGCAAAACTAGAATTTAGGTTCTAAAGAAATTTAATTCTGCATCTTTTTAAAGGCACTGGTGATAAATTATTGTGTTTGAAACACTGAAATATGTTTTTGATATTTCCTGTAGTTTATAGTCCTTCCATATCATGTTTATTTAGAACTAAATTTAGGTCTTACCCACAAAACCCAATAAATA